TTTTTTTTTTTTTTTTTTTTTTTTTTTTTTTTTTTTTTTTGTTACTGGGATTCTAACTTGGGTCCTTGCACTTGCGAGGCGGGTGGTGGAACCACTGAGCTAAATCCCCAGCCCATTTTTGTACTTTTAAAGGAACATAAAACCCCAAGCTAGAGATAATAACTCCAATTAAGGAAATTGTATATCAGCCCGTGGTTGGATCCCAACGAAAGCAGATGCAATGATTCCACAAAGTCCATGGGAAGCCAGTATCTTTGTGGGAGAGTATTAGTATTATTATCCTGATTTAAAAGTGCCGTGGTGAGGTCGACTTCTAAGACCAGGACATATCTGGAGATTCTATGAACAGTTTTCATTGTAGATGGTCTCTAAGGCCTTTCCTCAGTGAGTCCCAGCTTCTCCGTAGTCAGCTTAGGACCCCAGTGGGAAGGCAGCGCCTCTCCTCTGACAGCCCCAGCTTACGGTTTCCACCAGAGCCCTGTGGATGCGGCTCATGCCCACATCCTGAGACAGAAGCACAGAGGGGTACTAGGGGCACGGGGCAGGCAGAGACCACTGAGTCCCACTGGAACAGCATGCACGATGGGAGGACAGAGGCGAGGCAAGGCAAATCCTGACCACAGAAACGAGCCCTTCCTTGAGGGCTGCCTCTGAACCCCAGAGGAACCTGAGAAGGGCTGAGCTGCTCCCCTTCCTCTCCCCGGCCCCTTCCTTGTGAATACACAGGCAACACTGGGAGACTGGCCATGGGTCTGAGGAAGGGAGGGCAAATATCTGGCAAAGGACTCCTGGCTCTCCTGCCCAGGCGGCCTCTGAGAGCCCTCCCATGGGAGCAGAGAAGCTGGCTCGCTGGAGCTATCTTGTCTGTGAAATAAATCGAACATTCCTCCCAGTGAGGGCCACGTGACTCTGCGATCGGGATGACGTGGCCGGGTTAATTAAGCGACCTCTGTCTGGGCAGGTTCTGAACATTCCTCCCAGTGAGGGCCACGTGACCCTGCGATCGGGATGACGTGGCTGGGTTAATTAAGCGACCTCTGTCTGGGCAGGTTCTGCCAGTCTTTCTCTGAATGAGCGAGCAAAAGTCTTCTTACCCTAAGTGGCTGAGCCCAGCTGCTCAGGAATAGAGCAAGCTCTGCTCTGTAGGCACTGCTCTCCCGTGATTCTCCCCCAGGCCGCAGGGGTGACGGGTGCACAGCTGCCTCTCCTGGAGAAAGGAAGGACAGCCAGGCTCTGTGGAGGCTGTGGTGCTGAGCGGGGGAGACGGGGAACCTCTGTGCTCTGACTTTCAGAACCCTTAAAGGGTGTGCGATGATCTGATGAGTGCCTGACTGACTGAACCAAAGGCTGAGGGAAAATATCAGCAGCAATCATGCATTTCCTCCTTGTCAGTTTGTATTATTTTCGCACATGAGAAATGCACAATCCAAACTTCACCGAAGAAAGGAAAGGCAGAACAGAAGATGCAATAGTATATTGGCAGCATTTTAAGAACCTGAACATTGAGTATGAAACGTAATTACTAATCAAGACCGTTTCTGGGTGCTCCCGTGGTCGGCCCCATCCATCCTGAGTTTTGACGTAAGGATGTGGTTGGAAAGTGGGCTCATCCACGGGGACGGTCACGGAGATAGGAAGACCTGTGCAGCGAGGCTGAGTAGTCGGACGTGGCACGAACACGGCGGGAGCCAGGGAAACTCAGAGGGAAGGAGTGCTCCTGGCCTGTGTGTTTCTGCCGGTGCAGCATCTAGCAAACTCCATTAGCACTTTAATCCAACACAGACGCTTTGTGCTGAGAAGGAACGGGACCGGTGAGCAAGCGATAAATAGGATTCAGTCACTGGCTGCATGCTTTCCCATGGCTGAGTCAGGACGCGGTGTTGTCAGAGTTGGAAAGCTCTCCCTGCACTGAACACCGCCAGGAGATCCCTGCACTGCTCTTCTCGGGGGACTTCCGGTGACTTCCAGGACCAAGTATGGGCCCGTGCCTGGCTCAGGTGAGGCTCTGTCTCAGCCGGGTACCAAGATGATACTTCTGTTCCTCCAGCCTCGTGGATAAGCATTTGCATCTGGCTCCGCCATCGCCTCGAAACTGATCAAATGTATGTGTTCTTTCAGTACCATGTTTCATAAATTCACCAGCTGCTCCGTTGTTCTTAAACTCTTTCCATACATCAGAATTTGATGATTTCCTCCTCCTAATTATCCGACAGTGTTTTGTCCTAAGGACTTCGTTAGTGATCATTGTCGTTGTTGACTCAATGCCTCCAGGCCACTCCTCCTGAGTACACAGAGGACAATGCTCCAGTTGAAGCAAGCCAGTGAGCTTGGAGAAGACGTGATTCGTGTCAGACCCAGTCAGAAGAGATGGTGCTAAAACCTGGAGAACTCCTTTCCCTCTCCTCGGTGTGCGAGGCGCGATGTCAGAGCGGTGGCTTCTGTACCAGCTCATTTTCCTGAGTGGGGTCTCCGGAGCCGCTTCCTGCAGCGGACGTGATGTATGGACAAGAAGACCTGTTGATTCCACACCCTGAGAACTGACTTCAGCCTGACCTAGTTGATTCTGGCCACCATACTCTGTCTTCATTTTTTTGTGAACAAGAAAACAGGGCAAGTTGGTGTTTTTCTTATAGCAAGTCCCGCCTGCCCGCCGTGTCCACTTAACGAAAGCCTTTCCAGTGTTTCTGCTGCGTCTCTGCCGTCCTCTGCAGTGGTACTTTAATGAAGTGTGGGCTGCGTTTGAATCATAGGCGTATTCTACAGAACAGGCAGGCACCAAGAATAATATGTTGTTTCTCTGGACGTGATTGTTTAGCCTAAGTAGATTAGGAAATGGACTGTGTAGGAGAGCAGCAGCAGAAGGATGACAATATAAAGGATAAATTAAATTTGCTAAGAAAACACACTTATCTGCAGACAGAAAAAGGGAAAGAAAGAAATTCAATTTGCTTCAGCAGGTTCTGTCTCCTTGCAATCACATCTTATTTCACTCGAATCTTTACAGGCAAGCAGTCCCTCTTCTCACAGAAGCTTCTGCCGCACTTTTCTGGAGACTGCAGTTTCTTCTACTTTTTTCATAGCACACTGCCTGAGTATTAAAAATTGTATAAAGTGGTGAAAAGTGTGTGCCTATCCTGAGGAACGGCCTATTCCAGTGGTGGCAAGCCTGGGGCACGCGTGCCATAGCAGATTCTTTGTAACCTTGAAAGCTCAAAAAGGTTCGCCATCCCTAGCCTATTCCTCGGGCCATGTGGGCCACTGGGTTTGGGGTTGGTGTTTTAACTTGCGCATTTCTCATCAGAGGTGGTGCCCTGAGTAACAAATAATGAGCTGCATGTTTTTCCATCTCCCCAAGCCCACTCAGCCAGCCCTCTCTCTAGATCTCCTGCCATCTCTTTGTCAACAGGTTCAGGAACATAATTTTAAAGGAAATGCTTTAGGACAAGTAATCAAAGCTGAAGTCTAGCCTCAAGTTTTCACATGTTGACTGGGGAAACTTATGTAAGCTCCCAGTTCTATTACATGGAGATATCAGCACCAAAACCTAAGACATGCAGTGTTAGGAAAAGTAGCCAGAACCAAGCAACTTTACCAAAATAAAATGCTCACGGCATCTAAAATAGACTTTACGGGCCGGGGATTTAGCTTAGCAGTTCGGTGGCCTGCCTTGCAAGTGCAAGGACTAGAGTTCAATCCCCGGTACCACAAAAAAAATAATAAATAGATAAAATAGACTTTAAAGTATACATAGCAGCTCTACTCCAGTGAACATCATGTAGGAGAACCACATCTGCAGATTCCACGCTGAACATATAAAATATTGTCAAAATCTGTCAACAGTCTCCTACTAATTTACGTGAGTAGAAAAGTACATGGTTCTAATTGAGGTTATTCTTGAATGAAATGTAAATTTCATTTAGTTTTGTTTCTTATGCTTCCTTTCCTTCCCATGGAGTATGCATACTTTATTGAGTGTCCTTTGATGTAAGTTAAAGACACGAAACAGTGTTTGTTACCTGGTTATTTTGCATAACATGCTTAATTTTGTAAATGATATCGATAAAGCCAAAGAAGCAGGGCTCTCCACCGCCCATCAGGAAGTTAATTATTTTCAAAAGGGACCCTTCTGGAGATTATAAATTAGAAATGCGCTGTTCTGATGAATTCTATTTTCTGGTTTAGTTATTTATATCACTCACCCGAGAAAAAGCCATCTACAAGGATAAGAAATGAGTATCACCTCACCTGGCCGAAGGGGAGAAATTATTCTCTTCCCAGTACATAGTTCCCTTTTGTCAACGGGATGGTTTCCACAAAATAGGTCTATTTCTTCATTGCTTCTGACAAGTCTTTTGTATGTGAGTTAAATATTCTTGGGGTAAGTAGATATATGTGCACATGTATTTGTAGTGTGTGCACACATACATGAAACTTAATATGTGAAATGTGTGTTGTGCGTTCTACAGACGAGACCTTTGTGAAGACCCTTCAATAAAACTCCGTTACCATGGGCCGAGGATTTAGCTCAGTGGTCCAGCCACCTGCTGCACACTGCAAGGTCCAGAGTTCGCTCCCCAGTACCCTCCCCCCAAAAAATCCATTGTCAAATGTCCTGAAAATGCTACTACCTATTGATACACGTGAAACAAGAACAGGGTTTATTAAAGAAGATGGTGGATGTCGTGCCACGTGCTGTAATCCCAGCATTGAAGGCAGCTGAGGCAGGAAAATTTCAAGTCTGAGCCCAGTCTGGGCAATTTAGTGACTTAGTGAGACCCTGTCTCAAGATAAATTTTTGAAAAAGTAGTGATGAAACCTTTTAATCTGTCTGCAGAACTCTCTTTAGAAATTCGTTCCTTCAGCAAACCTAGACCAGTCTGGAAGATTCTCAGTGTTCAAAAAAAAGAGGATCTTAATGAAGAGAAAAGGTTGTTTTCAGCCGAGTTTTAGCATAGTTTTCAGCAGGGTTTCCCAGGACAGCATCTGAGAGGCTGAGCTGGCTTGGACAGAAGGGTCCTGCCCACCTGCTCAGCAGAGTTTCTGCTGAGAAACTGCTACTCCGTTGCTCAGGGTATCAGAAGTCTCACCTTGTAATTCAGTGGAGGGGATGGAATGACAAATCCTAAAGGGAAAAGAGGGAGAAACGTAAAACTCACGATTAAAATAAAATATGAAAGCAAGGGCACCAGGTGTGTGGTTGGCTCTCAACTTTTCTGAAATTCCTCAACAATATCTGCAAAATAACACCGCCCCCCTCTAAGCAATGAACAGAATTTTACTGTGTCTTGAAATCGTAAACCGATTCTTTCAAGCCCGGGCTTTGTGCTGCATGCTTGGGTTAGGGATTCCATGGCCCGGAGTCCTGTCCCACCCGGTGCTCTGATCTGGGAGTGGCTCGGCCACTCTCCAGGCACAGGGAGCAAGGCTCAGGCAGGTTGCGACCAATGCTGTGGCTACCGTTGCTTTAGCTGTGCCACTCCAAGTTTCAGCAGACCAACATTCACTATTCCGTAAGAGTCACAAACCGCATTCTGTGAAAGCCACAGGGCAGGCAGAGTCTGGGAAGGACGGGGACAGGAAGCAGACGTACAACAATCTCACCACAGTGTGTGAATTCACTTCTCTGTTTTGGAGGGGACGGCAGTGGGGAACAAACTTAAGGTCTTTTCCCTGAGCTGCAACACCAGCCTCTTTTAGAAATTTTTATTTTGAGTCCGCTTGTCCATAACACATGCTTTCTGAACAAGCTGGGTGACTTTTCTAAGGTTGCACAGGACAATTTTTAAGATCAGAACTTATTTTATATACTGTTGACTAATGGTTTGTCTTCTGGTTGGGCCGTGCTTAAAAATATGTACATAGTCTGGAATAAAGGAATGAAATTGTATAAAACTCATACACAATTCACAGGTAAAAACCACATAACCGCATGTTATATAATTATAGTATCTATCATATCAACAAAATGTTACATATCCTATAAGATAATTAGATGGTAGAGTACATATTATGCTGCATAATATGTATTATATATTAATTATGTAATTATACCTGTGGATTATGTGCCTGCTAATTATATAACTTACGGATATAATTAAATACAGGTACTAGAGTGCTGTGACAAGCTTTGGTATCTCTCAGTCTGCCCACCGTCACTATGACAGTTTTGGTGGTACTAACCACGAAGCTTCTTCTTTCAGATATCAGAGGTCCTGATCCACAAGCTCAACCAGAACTCGGTGCACTTCGAGCTGAAGCCTGGGGTCCAGGTTCTGGTCCATGCAGCTCACTTGACAGCAGGTCAGTGTTCACATCCCAGGATTGCAGCCGTGACCCCAGTGGGGACCCGTTTGTGTCTCTTTCACCAAACTGGGGCCTGATGTTTCTATTGCTGAGCATACACTGGGCACCAGTTCTGAAAGTTTCCTTGCCTCACATTTCCGCATTAAGGAGGAGGCAGTTAGACACCAGAATGCAGTGATATTTCCTACTTAGTTTCTGGAAAAATACTGTCAAAGAGTTCCTTAGTCATCTCCCCACACAACTGCAGGCTTCATTTTAACAGCCCTCTTGAAAATAAACTTATAAATAAACTTTTTTCAAGTTTTTTGCAAAGGCCTATTTTCCCATCATCTTACAAAAAAAAATTGCAGGCTTCATTTTAACAGCCCTCTTGAAAATAAACTTATAAATAAACTTTTTTCAAGTTTTTTTGCAAAGGCCTATTTTCCCATCATCTTACAAAAAAAATTTTTTTTTTTTCTAATGTGATGCAGGGGAAATAGCGGGGATTTGGGAATTACATGGGCCTTGGCAGGGAAGGTAATCTCAATTTGGGTATGTCTCTTTGCCTTTAAAGCAGGATGAGAAATACTTTTTTTTTAAACTATGGAAATGTTTCAGTGACAAAACTAGGAATCCTGAGCATTTATAAATCGATATTATTTGAATCAACTGTGCATATTAATAATAAATTAAATGGGTCATATTTACTGGGCACTTATATTTGCAGATTCTGGTGTTCCGTGAAGTACAAATGCTAGTAGAGAGGGTTGTTGTTTCCGCAAACGCATAATCTGGCTGCAGTACGGGAACTTGGCCGGTAAGAGTGGTCAGGGTGCAGAGGACAGCACGATGGAGGTGTCTCAGTAAGCCAAGCGCACGCATGCTGTGTTTGTCCTCCTCTCATCACTGGCCCAGGACACCAGATGCCCACAGCTTAAGGATGGAAAAGTTTATTTTGACTCACAGCTGCAGCCCGTAGTCTGCTGGCTCCAGGACAGACATCCTGTGGAGGAAAGTCCAGGGAGGAAAGCTGCTCACATCATGGTGGTCAGAAAGCAGAAAGAAGGGATGCGCCAGGAGGGAGATGGCCCTTTGTGGGTCACACTCCCGACGATCCAGCTCCACACACTCCCTACCCCTCACCAGCAAGTTAGCTGTGAGGCCCCCGGGACCCTTCAGAAAGCCCTGCCTCTGAGCACTGTAGAGTTTTGGGTTCATTCTTGGTCTGAAGCATAGTGAATGCTTACGTAGAGAGGAACCATGGTGTAGTTAAGCATTTGGATTCTGTTGTATTTTAATGCACTACAGCGAGGTCACAAATTTCAATCTTGTTCTGATACTCACTCTGTAGACCTAGAAAACAGATTTAAATCTTAGTTACCTCAGAAACGACGAAGGTACCTACGAGAGAAGATTAGGTTAATTCAGGCAATGCACTTAGGGTAGAGGCTGGCACAGACAAGGTATTACTTTTATTTTTATTCTTTTTGATTATTAACAACCAAAGTTGTATAAGAAATTCAAAGCAGAGATTAATTGTATCTGGTCAAAATGATATAAAGTATTTTATAGAAGGAGCATTTTGTGGGGAAGAGATCATTCCGAGCTTCAAGCACCAAGGAGAGAAAGGACCAGGGGCTAAGGTGGCCAGTTTTGTGAAGACAAAGAACAGTGGTTTCCAGCTCCATCCTCTCATTTCCCAGAGACACTTGGACATGCTCATAAATGTGGAGGAAAGACACTGACCATTCTTTCTGCTGGATTTTATCTTTTATAAAATTAGAATTCCATAGAATTTTGTTTCAAAAAATTCCATTGCCGGGCAGGGGATTTAGCTTAGTGGCACTGTGCCCACCTCACAAATTCAAGGACCTGAGTTTGATCCCCAATACCAAAAAAGAAAATCCACTGCCTTAAATAAATAAAGGTTTAAAAGTCATTGTTGGTACATATGGGAGTTGGAGGTGGATTGAGGAAGACTCAGGGTGGATCAATTGTAATACTTTAGAGGCTTCTGGGAAGCCAGTAAAACCTTTAAAGAGATGTGTGAGATTTAATTAACCGAATGAACTAGCCTGAGATGGGACAGACAGGACCTCATACTCCTCCCCCCACCTGAAGTAGAGATGGCTCTCCTGGCGTTTATTGGCTGAAAACCACCGAATCTTATAACTCATAATGAACTCATAATGGTTCTTGGAAGGGATACAGCCAACTAGTTCATCCTGTGTGATGTAAGATTTGCTTTATAGCATACTAAGCTCCTGAATGAATATTACTCTCAGAAAGCATATTGTGCTGTTTGGCAGCTTGATTTATCAGAAAATACTCTTTAACTATTAACAAAAAGACTCTATTGGAAGGGAGAGTTCTAGATGAAAGTCCACAGGAAACTAGTCACGTTTCTCTAGATCTTTAATTCTGGAGACTATTTACATTTCTTCTCTTTGCTTCCTCCCATTGGTTATTGTCTGTACATATTTTATATTTAATTTACTGTTGTATTATACTCCAAATGTGACTCCAATTATTGGGGTGAATTTGGAATCTTATCTCAATTGATATTTGAAGAAATTTTCTTATGTGGAGAACTGGTTTAGTTGAGAGGAAGATGAAAATTGCTGACCTTAATGTAGGTAACTAGGTGAGATGTTTTGGCTGGTGGCTTGGCCATGAAAACCACATTGAAAGGTCACCTCACAGTCTGTGCATCTGCAGTTCTGTGCAGAAAGTCTATTCCTGGTAACTGTGGAGGAGTCATCCCACTGGTGTAAGCTCAAGATGGCAGGAAATGCGTAGTGGGAAGATTTGAAAGTCTTTCCCATTCATGTTTGTAGTTCATTCACAGCTGGGAGTTTGAGAGCAAGAGTCAGATTCCTGGGATGCAGTCCTGGCAGAAGGGAGTGTGTTACTGAGAGCCCAGGTAAGCACGGTGAGATTTGGAGGAGAGCTCTCTGCAGCACAGGAAAACAGAATGCAAGGTTTCCAAGATGACGCAAAGAAAAATGCAGCTCCACAAAAGCATGCAGCCTTACATCGGACCAGTTTTAAAAAGTGAGGAATTTCTTTGACTTCCAGCCATTTTGACTAATCAGTCATTTTTTTTTACCCCCAATTAGATTTGACAGCAGAGTCTTTTAGCAGTCAAATTCCAAGCCTGGCCGGCTGGCATTACTGAGATATCTGTATTGGCTGGCTGTAAATGATACTGATGTAAACTTTTATGTGGAAAGGGAATGTCATTTTAAGGAGTAAAGGAGCAGAGTACCCAAAATGACAGATGGAATGAGTCATAGAAATTTGGGGTTTATGGATTTCAGTATTAGAACAGGCAGAATCCACAGGTGCTGAGTCCATCTGGGCCAGAATTTCATGTACATAAAGCAAGACTGTTAAATCTGGCACTTTTCCACAATTGTGATAAAGAAATAAAATACATTAGAGATCAGCTTGTTGTTTGAGACTGATCAGAAATTGACTAACTATGTGATTTAGAAAAAGTAAAACCAAAATTATTTGAACAGGGCAATGGACTCTGTCTACCAAAGATGATAGAGGGAACCTTTGCATGTGGAAAACTTGACACTTTTGGGTTGAGGCTGGGAAGATTGAGGTCCTTGCTATGATTTCTTTTATTAAGTGGAAAATGAACAGATTCATATCTGAGTGGCTAACCAGAGAAGGGAGAGGAAGACGGGAGAAAGGAGAAAAAGTGAAGAAGACTGTTTGATATGGAACTTTCAACCCACTCCCTTTCCCTTCTCATTTCCCCTGCAGAAAGGGAAAAGGGGCATCGTTTGTCAGATTTCATGTCTCATCAGCAGGACTGTGGGGTCTTCCCAGGGACCATCATAGCTGCTGTAATCCATTAAGCACACAGCAGATTTTCAGCAGGCTTCTTTGAAAAATGCTGAATCTGGACTAAGTTGTCGGTGAGAGAGGCAATGCACAATTTGGATTGTCTACCCGAGAAAAGCACTGTCTGCTTTCAGGAGCTTGCTAACCTTATTTTGTTTTTCAAGTCCAGTTCCCTGTTTTCTTTTATGGGAACACAGAAAAGCATTTGCAGATGCCTGACTATCATTACAGAATGAATTTTGTTTTTCCCTACATGTTCTCCTTGGGAATTCATCATCTTGGGTGTCTCAGTTGAGCTAACTTTGAATGTAGTCCTCATTCAGTTTGGTTCTTAGTCATTCCTGTGCTCCTCGGTTCCCATCGGATTCCTCTTGAGGCCCAGCCACTCCTTATAGCTCTGTTTCTGAAATTCTCATTGCAGGAGATGTGAAATACTATGAAAAAGGGGAGATAATGAAAAGCACATTATTCAGAAAGCCCGGGGAGGGTCATGGCCTTTGGATCTCAGAATCTCATGGCAGGTAATGTCCATGGCTAGCAGAAAGAAGCTGTGATATTGTAAAGCAACCCAGAGTGTTGGAAAAGGAAGTTTAATCAGGCTGTAAGGTAGGCTGGAACCACTGGTGCTCGGACCAAAGTGTTATTTTGTCCAAGACCAGCCTGCGTCCTTCCCCCTTCTTCCTCACCTGGCTGCATTCCCTAAATCCATTTGAATTGTAAGGCTCAGCTCCATGCCAACATTTGCATGATGTCTTCCCCTTATCTGAACTCTCACACAGGTTTAAATCTGCCCCATTCGAATATTGACCGTCATGACCCTCGTTACCACTGTCTTCATCCCTGCTGGACTGTCTTGTGGGTATGGTGGTTGTGTCTTTAGCCTTCACTCATATCTATCAGTGAACATGTGCCTGTCACATGCTTGAGGAATATTGTTTTCCTAAATGATGCTCCGCAAAGCCTCCTGGGCGAGTAGGCGGGGCTTTGGGAAGGTGATCAGATCATGCTGTTATGCATCAGTGGATTCGTCCCTAATGAGTCTGTAGCTGTCTGTGAGGAGGTGAAGCCTGGTCGGAGGAGGTGAAGCACTGGGGATGTGACCAGCAAAGGTCTCTCTTTCTCCTTTCCCTCTTGCTCTCTTGCTCTGTTTCCTGTCT